GTAAGGTGGGCCTCTCAGTTTTTGATGATCGGGGAAAGGCTTTATTTTGCCTTCATTTTTTAAAAATAGCTTTACTGGATATAAGATTCTGGTTAGTAGGTTTTTCTCTCTGAATACTTTGAAAATGTTATCCTATTGCCTTCTGGCCTCCACTGTTTGTGCTGAAAAATCCAATGTGAACCTAATGGGGCTCCCTTTAAGTGACACGTCATCTTTCTCTTGCTGCTTTCAATATATTCTCCTTGTCTTTGACTTTCACTATTCTTTCACTATATATCTGTTTGAGGATCTCTTTTTTTTTTAATTATTATGTTATGTTAATCACCATACATCACATCGTTAGTTTTTGATGTAGTGCTCCATGATTCATTGTTTGCGCATAACACCCAGTGCTCCATGCAGAATGTGCCCTCTTTAATACCCATCACCAGGCTAACCCATCCTCCCATCCCCCTCCCCTCTAGAACCCTCAGTTTGTTTTTCAGAGTCCATCGTCTCTCATGGTTCACCTCCCCCTCCGATTCCCGCCCCCTTCGTTCTTCCCCTCCTACTATCTTCTTCTTTTTCCTTTTTTTAACATATAATGTAGTATTTGTTTCAGAGGTACAGGTCTGTGATTCAACAGTCTTACACAATTCACAGCGCTCACCATAGCACATACCCTCCCCAATGTCTATCACCCAGCCACCCCATTCCTCCCACCCCCCACCACTCCAGCAACCCTCCGTTTGTTTCCTGAGATTAAGAATTCCTCATATCAGTGAGGTCATATGATACATGTCTTTCTCTGATTGACTTATTTCGCTCAGCATAACACCCTCCAGTTCCATCCACATCATTGCAAATGGCAAGATTTCATTCCTTTTGATGGCTGCATAATATTGTTTGAGGACCTCTTTGTGTGTAATCTTACTTGGATTTTGTTTAGCTTTCTGCCTACGTTAGTTATTGTTTTTCAATAATTTGTGACGTTTAGAGCCATTATCTCCTTGCATGCTTTTTCTTTTCCTTTCTCATCTTCTGGTACTCCCATTAGGCATATGTTGTTGCACTTGATTGTGTCCCACATTTCTCTGAGGCTCTGTTCATTGTTTCTAGTTTGTTCTTCTTTTTCTTCTTGAAGTTACATGATCTCCATCAATCTAACTACACATCTGCTTCTTCTTCCAGGTCAAATCTATAGGTAAGCCTCTCTAATGAATTTTTTATTTCAGTTATTTTACTTCCAATTCCATAGTTTTCCATTTGGTTCATTTTCTTAATGATCTCTATTTCTTTATCAATACTCTAATTTGATGTGACATTGTCCTCATACCTTCCTTTGCTACTTTAATTGTGAACTACTTTATTTCTGTGAACATTGTCTATAATGGCTACTTTAAAGTCTTTTCCTAATAAATCTGACATGTGGTGTCTCTGACAGTTTCTTGGCTTGCTTTTTTTCCAGTGCATGTCTCATACTTTCCTGTTTCTCTGCATGTCTCATATTTCCTTATTGTTGGAAACTACATATTTTAGATAATATATCATAGCACCTCTGAGTACTGGTATATGTCTCTCCTTCTAGAACATGTTATTGTTATCTGCTTATTTGTTTAGTGACTAGTGGACTGTTTCAGTGAAATTTATTCCCCCATCCACAGTGTTCAGCTTCTAATGTTGTTCCTCAGGGAAGCACAGATTTGGTATATCCACAGTTACCCTCAGATCACTGGATCACCATGGATTGGGAGGGCTCTCTTCCCATATTTCCTTAACCGCACCCAGCTGTTAGACTCCAAGAATTGATGGCTGGTTGCTCTATTGTTTTCAACAACGCCCTGAGGAATAAATTGGTCTATAAACAATCCAATCAAATTCTGGTTCCTTTGAAGGAATAGTTTCTGAGATCAGTGTCTGATTTTTGTTCTGACCTCTGGAAGGCTGTTGGGATTTTTATTCCCTGGATCTCTCCTGCAAACTAGCTAGACTACGGTATAGCTTGTATCTTGAATCTCCTCTCAAATGCCTTTTACTACAACCTCCACTGTACTTTAGGATACTTTTAGGCTTCAACTTCTTCGTTCTCTGTTGCAAATGAAGTCAGTTCCTTTGGGAACAAATTAGGAGCTGTTTTATGGTTTGTTTCTCTCTCTGGGCAAATCTTTGAGCCAGTGCTCTAAAGCTAGGTGTGGGGGACAATGGCAAAGTTCTCTCTGAGTGATACTCCCACCGTAGGAGCTAAGAGCTCAGTGGAAGGAGAAGGGACATAGTCTGGGGTCCTCTCAGTTTTCCTCTCCTGGGATGGAACAACCAACCTACAATCTGAGGCAAAAGTGATCTGGGCCCCTGTATTCTCAACATGCTGCAACCAAATTCCACAAGTAGGGGCTAGGCCGAAGGGAGTCCTTGCTCCTGCACTACACTCACCCAGGACTTAGCTGCAGCAACAGGCAGCTGGGGACAGGAAGAGAATGCTGACATCGTGTTCGTCCCAGGAGCCATGAGTCTAGGTTGGGGTTGGGGGGATCCTGTGTTCTAGGCTACAGTAGTCCTAATTGGAATCTCCACCTCACCAAACTGGCAAGGAGAAAAGAGGGAGCAGTACTGGCTTAAAAACCATTCTCAGGGCACCTGGGTGGCTCAGTCAGTTAAGCGTCTGCCAGGGTCCTGGGATCGAGCCCCATGTCAGGCTCCCTGCTCAGCGGAGAGCCTTCTTCTCCCTCTCCCTCTGCCTGCCACACTGCCTACTTACGCTCTCTCTCTGTCAAATAAATAAAATCTTTTAAAAATAAAATAAAATAAAATAAAAACCATTATCAGGGGCGCCTGGGTGGCTCAGTCAGGTTAAGTATCTGCCTTCAGCTTGGGTCATGACCCTGGAGTCCCTGGATCGAGTCCCACACTGGGCTCCCTGCTCATCAGGGAGACTGCTTCTCCCTCTGCCTCTGCTCCTTCCCCTGCTCATTTTCTCTCTCTCTCTCACAAATAAATAAATAAAATCTTAAAAAAAAAAAACCCCACTCTCATCTCTTACCAAATTTTCATAGATGTTCTTGAATAAATGTCTCTTCATTGGCTGTTCAAACTTAGGACCATGGTTTTGGGGGTTTTCATCATTTCCATGTTTCACTGGGAAGCGGGTCAGCAGAGTTCCTCACACTGTCACGACAGAAGTCACTCTCCCACTTGTTCTTTAAAATGGATGTGAAGGATCAATACATGTGTGATCTAGGGCTCTATATATGTGTAATCTCATTTAATCTTCACAACTGTGGTGCAGACACTACAGACCTTGCTTTTATAGATCATGAAAGTGAATCCCAGAATCATTTAATAACTTGCTCCAATTAAAACAGCAAATAGGAGGTAAGGGGCTGATTCCAACCAGGCTTAACCACCTCCAAAGCTTGTGTTTTTGATCACACCTATTTTTTCATCTTTTACACAGATCCTTTTAAAAATCAGAGCTCATGGGGCGCCTAGGTGGCTCAGTCGGTTAAGTGTCTGCCTTCGGCTCAGGTCATGATCCCAGGGTCCTGGGATCGAGCCCCACATTGGGCTCCCTGCTCAGCGGGAAGCCTGCTTCTCCCTCTCCCACTCCCCCTGCTTGTGTTCCCTCTCTCGCTGTGTCTCTTGCTGTCAAATAAATAAATAAAATCTTAAAAAAAAAAAAAATCAGAGCTCATGAAACAGTTACATCTCTGTGCAGTCACAATGATTTCTTTAGGGAATACATCATTTTCTTCCTCATCTGCATCTTTTATAATAATACTAGGAGAAGTCCTATTCTGTTTCCTCATGTCTTACGCTGCATTTCCATAAAGAATCTCTGATCAGGGGACTTCACCTTTTCTGTACTTTTTAAAATCTGTTGTCCTGAAGATCTCCCTGCTAGATCTGATGTGCAATGGGTTTGGGTCTTTGATTATTATAAACATTAAAATGACAAGGTCTCTTTTCTCCCAAGATTACCTTTGTGCATAAGCACATACACAAAGCCAATTAAAAAATATTATTAAGAAATGATGATACCTCCTTTAAAAAAGACTGAAGCTTCTTAGGCCCAAATTATAAGATTTCAGGGAAAAGCTGAACACACACACACACACACACACACAATCCATATAGTCACAACTGACCAGTCACTAATAAGAACATCCCACTTTAAAAGTGATCTCATGCTTTTAAATGTACTTAAATGAGTAAGTACCAATATTTAAAACATAAAAAAAATTCTGACCACAATTGAAACCAAAACATAACCCAAAAAATAAACTAGATAAACCTAAAGTATACGAAGAAATCTTTCTCCTTACTCACCCAAACAAAAATAAATAAATAAATAAATAACTGACATGTCAATGCATATCTGAAAATTTAGCCTTTACCTCTACTTGGCTCCATTTATCATTGTTACAAAAAAAATTTTTTTGGCCAGTTTTTACCAACTCAAAAAGTCCGATTTCCTGGTAGCAGATCTGCTACTGCGCCAAGTGTTAGAGAAAAAAATAGTTACTGCAGACCAAACCTCCCAAACTACAAGAATCATCAAGGGAACTGTGAACACATAGTAAGGAATACAGTTACATGTTCTATTTAAACAAAGTTTAAAGAAAGCATTAGAATGAGACTGTTTGCACCCAGTGGCTCTTTTCTCACACAACAGAGGCCCACACACCACGGGAGCCCCTCCACATGTGGTGACCCCCAGTCGAATCTGGCAACAGCAAAGACCCTTGGTCGCAGGCTCAGTAGGGATATTTGTTTTGGGAGATCTGTAATCTCAGCTGTCAACACCTGACTGAAATAAACAAAAGAGCTCTGCTGAGGAAACAAAGACAGTGACGGGACTTAAGCAGGTAAACCAAAATAAATTAAAATTCTTGATGGAAATGGACAGCCCTGCGGGACAGCATCCAGTGACAGAGCTGCTCAAGTGGCTAAGGCATTGACCAGCTATTTTGGGTTTGCTAGCGTGTGCTCAAGAGCTTTTTAAAGAATGCAATAGAGGTACTTACCAAATATTTCCCCTCCACTAGCATATTCTGTCACCAGATAAATCATCCGTTCTGTCTCCATAACCTGGTACAAAGGCAGGAAAGCGACAGACAGTGACACAAATGACAGGCTGATATCATAGGAAGAGAAACTAATGACTCCTCTTTTGTCATTTGAAATATTAATAACCATTAACTGCTTAAAGGAAACTTAAAACACCAGAGAGGGGAACAGGCATAAACGCTATAAAGAAGAAAGGGGGAAAATAGGTATTCCTCCAAGTTCTTTAAAGTAGTACGTATTTACTACTTAAGAGAGACAGTCGTTTTGTTGTTCCTTGAGGCCTCTGCAATCTCTTAAGCTCCACAAAAGTGAGAAGCAAAGAAGCTGCCAAGAACCAGAAAGTTCACATTCAACAATGATCACCTGAAGTTCAAATATGCCCCCACCAGCCACAAAACCCAATCAAAACAAAACAAAAAAAAAACCTAGGGAAAACAAGGGGAATCACTTAGGAACTGCGCAGAAATCACAGGTGGATGTGTTTTTTTAATGGAAATGACAACTTTCCTCTCTGTATCCATTTATTCAAAATTGGGAAGAATAATGTAAATATTCAACACTTAAGTAATATACTCATTTGTATTTTGTTTTGGTCCCTATTTTGTTTTTTTTTTTATGTAGTTGTAGTGTGTTGGCAGTCCTTTCTTCCTTTTTTTACCTTTGTCATTAAATATTTTTTAAAGTAATATAGGAGTATCTATGCTCATGATAAACTTCTTAAATACCTGGTATATTTAAAAAAGGCCAAAGATTTTCTTCTTTCCAGCCCCCTCCATTTTATTCCCCCAAAGGAAACACTGTTAATAAGCTAATTTATTCTATATCTAGAGCAATGCTGACCAATAGAAAAAAAAATGTAGGCCTCATATATAATCATATATAATCTTAACTTTTCTAATCGCCACATTAATAAGTAAAAAAAATAAAATGAAATTAACTCTAATATTTTATTTACCCAGTATACCCAAAATACTACTTAAAAATTTTTTTAATTGTAAACTACTTCAGTTTTCACATTAATGAAGATTAATAAAATTAAAAATTCAGTTCCTCATTCACTCTAGTCACATTTTAATGCTCAATAGCCATGTGTGGCCAGTGGCTATCATATTGGGCAAGAGAGTTTTAGACTTTCACCATAATTCAGTCAATTATTTTGCTAAATTATTTCCCAGTTACTTGATCTTTGACATCTTTACACATTGATACCATATAACAGCATTACGTGTTATAATCACACATCTTTTGAATGGCTTCATGGTATTCTGTCATACAAGTATACATTACTTTTCCAATCTAATAACTGTATCATCCTTTTTTTCTCTTTAATTCTTAAGAACTGTATATATTGGTGATATTAGCTCACTGTATGTTACATGCATCACTGCCAGGCTCTTCCTGTATGTTGATTTACACAACAACAACAACAAAAGTAAGTGCTCTAAATATATGCAGGTGTTGAGAAAAAAAAAAGAAAAGAAAAAAGTAAATGTCATATTGTATATCTCCTTTGTACCCCTGGGTGTATAGACTTTTATTGACTGCAAATGTTCTTTTACTGTTGAATTTTTCAGTAGCTCAAAAACTTTCCTATTCAGTTACCTATATTTGGCTCCCTCTATAAACTGACAAGACTGAAGTTTTGGCAAATGACTTGAAAACTACCTGGATACAATTTATAAAGACAATTTGACAGCCATTCACCTTGGCAGCCTGGAATCCCCCATTAACAATACTAGCTGCCAGAGAGCAAAATTAAACCTTAAAAGAAGGGCATTGTTCAAAGCCAGGGCTGAAAGTATGAGAACTCTTACTGGCTAATGAAATCTTGGGTAAGAAAGATCAATTCGGATAATTCAGTTATAAGGTTAATACCTACAAGTTAACCTCTTGAGGAAAGTCAGCCTCATAAGCCCTACAACTATTTAAAGATGATTTATTTTAAAAAGTGAGGTCAAGAAGTTCACTCGGTCGATCAGGATAGGAAGGAAGCAGAGGTCAAACACCTCCGAGTTTGCAGACACCGGTCTTCAGGCAACACCAGGAAGCTTTCACAGGTTTGCTTCTGGGGCACAACGTACGTGTGGTTCAACAGAATTCAGTCTGATGCATTTCAGCAAGTCTGCTCCTGCTGATCTAACTCATTTCATGATGTGAGCAGCTGATGCCAGAAAAAAGCCCTAGAGCTGTGGCCTTAACCACACACACTAACATCACAACATGCTTTCTTTTCCATAAAATTAATAGACTATGAAAGCCTGCCCATTGTGCCTCCACCCTTATACACGGTGCCATGTCTGGGCCGGCAACCATGTACAGCAGCAAATGAACCGGGTGGGTGGCCACTTCCTGAACAGGTAGGTGACGGCTGCTCTGGTAGAAAGCAGTGAGCAGGGCTGGCCCTCGGCAGAGGTAGAGCTTGCGGCTGCCAACACACTGCAATCTGAGAAGCACCCCAAAGCCCCACCTCTCCCAAAATACCTCTTCCACCAGCCTGCTAAGGCAAGGTCTTCTCTTTCTATCTGGCTTGAAATTCCAGTCATTAGATTTACTGCTTTTGCAGTAAGGTAAGGGAATCATTGTTGAGGATGGCATGAAATATGCATGGTTCTTGGGAAGGTAAGAAAACTAGAATGGAAATCTCTTCCATTCCACCAAATCAATCTCGTGGTTATCAAAATTATCAAATGCTACCTTAGGAAACCAAGTCTAGGGCCCTACCAGAAAAGAGGTGAGTTCTGACTAATACAAGGAGCCATACTTAAAATATCCTTCGCCATCATAAGTCGTACCAGGATCACAGAAATGAGTATTTAAGGAATGTTATAAAAAGATAGTTATATTCACCTCTAACTTTTCATCCCCCCAAATTCTCCATTCCTTTGGCTTTCCCATTCTGTTTTAGGATTCAGATCTACATAAATAAGTTCTTGTCATCTTCTGAATAATCCTCTTGTGTAATCCTCACAAAGAATGGTACCCAAGTTTTAAAGAACAAGTTTAAAAGGCCTACGTGGGTAAGGTAGATCTTACTAGTAAGTAGCCAGGTAAAACGTAAGTGCTGAGTGGGAAATAAAAGGGCAGGAAAACAGTAGGATAAACATGTGAACACAGAAACCAAGAAAAGTTGCAGATGTTCACCCAGACACCTTTTCTTTTATACACACAAGTGACTATTCTGGGCTCTCCGTCACCACACACTGTGCCACCAAGGGACCTACCTGGTAGAGCCTGATGATGTGGGGATGGCAAAGCATTTTCATAATTTGAACTTCCCGGAAAATCTTCTTCAAGTTTTCTTCATCCAGCTGGGTCTTGTCTATGATCTTGATAGCAACCTGAGAACAGAGGAAGAAAATTTACTCTGATGCAGGATTAAAAGCAGGTCACTAAGGAAAATTAAAACCACTTTAAAACATTATATTCCACAAAATACAAGCTGCCAGCATTTTGTTTACAGAATATCAGTGAATAAAATTATTTTACTCTTTTTATAAAGTCAGGAAATGGATTCCTAGCAAGTTGGTCTCAAAGGAACAGATTCCAAAAGCTAACGGGTCTTTCTGCCATTTCTTAAACTACTCTGACAGTAAGACCTTATGACAAACAAAATACTTCATTACTCCACAGATGGGATCACAGTCTGTGCAAATCAGGCTTTGATGCAGACAATGGTATGTCGGGTCTCTTATTAAGAGAAAATGCTTGGGCGCCTGGGTGGCTCAGTTGGTTGGGCGGCTGCCTTCGGCTCAGGTCATGATCCTAGAGTCCCGGGATCGAGTCCCGCATCGGGCTCCCTGCTCGGCAGGGAGTCTGCTTCTCCCTTTGACCCTCCCCCCTCTCATGTACTCGCTCTCTCTCATTCTCTCTCTCTCAAATAAATAAATAAAATCTTTAAAAAAAAAAAAAGAGAGAGAAAATGCTTATATCACAAGTACATGATAAGTAAGGTTCGACGACAAATTCCACAGGTGCGTCCTACACGTCACCAGGGGCTTGCATAACTCGGTAGCAGAAGTGGTATGATATGGTGGTGGTCGCTGCAGTCACTATACCCCAAACATGTGCTGTGTGCCAAGCAGAATTCTTCGTGCTTTCCAAGTACTACATCATTTAAACCTCACAATACCCTACATTTTATTAACCTTATTTCCCAAATAGGGAAACTGAGACACACAGAGATTAAGTAATTTACCCAAGATTAAGCCATTTACAGCTAGTATGCGGCAGATCCAGGACTGAAGCCCAAGTTGGTTGGCTTTACAGTCAAATTCTTAATGTTAATGCTACAAAAATCTGAAGATCTTTCTGTACTGTATATATACTGCTTCAGCATCAAACATCTATTTTGCTCATCATTGTTAAGACATCCAGCAGCACATACGTTTTAAAACAGAGTGAAAGATGAAGAACTTTTTTTACTCTACCAAATGTAAACTACTTCACTATTCTTAGTGAAATACTCAAAATACTGTGTTGCCCCAAAATATCACTATATCTCCGTCTCAGTCGATACACAAATATCAAAGAATATTAGTCTGATGAAGGACCAAGCCAAGGTAAATTCTAGCCCCTTCCAATTCCAAAAATTCTATGATTCTATACACTGAGAGAGGGAAAGGAAGCTTACTGAGAAAAAAAAAAAAAAAAAAAAAACAAGGAAGCAAAATTTCAATAATAAATAAATGTTCAGCCCAGAGCAATAAAGACTATATGGAACTACACAGGGTAGATGATTCAAATGTAAGAATAACTAACATAAATGTAACTTTGGAGTTGTTTCAGATATTAGAATGAAAACTGATGGGAGAAAGGCCCAGGGAGACAAATTTCAGCTCAATTCAAAGAGCGTTCAAAAGGACAGAATGTGATAAAGGAAGCTGGATGTAGCTCAAGCTATGAAGATTAAATCAGATACAGCCTTAACTTCAAGGAGCTCACGGTCTAGTAAGGGAAAGACATACATGAAACAGGCAACAATACAGCGTTGGAAACACAATCAACAAAGCTATAAACAAGGTATGATGGTAGAACAGAGAATGGAGTATGACCTTCACCAGGGGGGAAAAGCAGACATAGGGAAAGACCTCACAAACAAAGCAGAACTTGATAAAGAATTGGGATAAGCAGAGAAGAGGGTAGGAAATTTTATGAGGAGAAAGAGCAGAATCATTAACAAATTTCACGAGCTGTTCGATCTCCTATAAGAAGTCTTGTACCGTATCACCCTGGATATAGGGTTATAGCTCAGTGGTAGGGCATCTGAGTGCATCTCACCCCGGACCATTAGCGTTTCTACTTCTCCTCACTACTGTGTCGTATCACATACAGGACCTTAACTCCAGCAAATGGTCTGGTGTCTGTACCTGGTCCTCTAAGGACAGCTCCCCAAACACAAAAATCGCAGTACACAATGTCCTTTTATAGAACGAATATCTGGGTCTTAACTGTAATTAATTATTAATAAAAGCTTACACATGAATAGCACATTATACTTTACAGATTGCTTTCAAATACATAACAAGCTTAGAAACTTGCAGCTATATGCCCATCGCAGAGCTTCCCAACTAGTGGGCTAGAAGTGGGTTACAGGGGTACCCAAGGCCATGGGTAGGTGGCAGTGGATCACCTCCAGCCTCAAGAAACCTCATTTGTTTACCACCGAGAAAATATTATCATTTTCGGTGTGCAAGGACCAGGCCTCAAATCCCCTATCCTGCCCATGCCTGTCAATGGACGGCACAGAAAAAGTAATGGGGTAGAGGATGGAGGTGGTTAATGAGGGCCTTCAATGCATTTGACCGTATTTTTGTAGTTTTTCACTCGCAAGAGAGGACTGAGTCATACATAACTGGGGGAGTCACAGGGCCTCCTGATTCACATGAACCCCTTCTGAATTCATTTGCATTCTGAGGTAATACGACTTTCACAAAGGTAAAGAGAAAACCAAATCTAATCATCTATGAGAACAAAGCTGGCTACAAGATCTTATATCCACTTATATGCACTTAGTAACGATTTTTAATTTGATAGAGATAATGGTATATAGCATGGATGTAGTTCTTCATTTCGTAACAAGTATATGTGCCTCCCCATAAAGGGAATACAGCCCCCCACATACTGAAATGTATTCTTATCTTTTCAGGGAAAATTGCATTAAGTATAACCTGTTCTCCGAAGGTGGATGCAGAGAGGTTTCCGTAGATTAAAACATCAAATCCCGTCTACTCTTCAATGAGATTCAGGATTCAACAAGACACGGGCAAAGCCTGGCCTAGCAGCTGAACGTGGCGTCAACAGGAAGGACTCTGGTGTCAAGCTGCCTGGGTTCAAAATCTTAGAACTGCCCTTTTAATGTATAACCTTGACCAAGCTATTTAATTTTGCTATGGCTCCTTATCTAAAAAATGCGGGCAACAACAGAACCTGCTCTAAAGGTTGCTGGGGACTGACTAAGCTAATGGATGCAACCTGCCTAGTATATAATGCCTGGCATGTGCTAAGCATGTCATACGCATTAATTACAGGTACTGCTGTTATCTGTTTGTTTGTTTTCTGGAATCAAGCCTTAAACGTTAGGCATTCCTTGACAAAAATAAGATTCGCTTCACTAAACAAAGTAATCCTGGATCTCAAACGAATCAGTTCCTTACTCAAGGGGCAAGCTGAGGGGCCCAACAAGCGAAATAGCTAACAATTTGTGGGCAGCATTCAGAACCAACTGGTTGCTTCCAGCTGATGTGGGAAGAACATGGAAGGAATGAAGCTGGGGGAAAAATGCATTCCATTCGGGAGCGTCACACCAAGCTACAGGATGAACCCACAGCAAGACCTGATCCTCGGGGCTGCACCAGGGAGAGTGCGCTCTGCTTCTTCATGGCCAGCCGGGCCCCCTGCCCCCCCAGACCAAGTACCAATGCCAGAGAGGAGGACACGCGTGTTACTTGGTCCACGTGCCTGAGAGGACCCCTGAACGGAAAAGACAACGTCCGAAAGCTTCAGCTCCTATTTTAGCTGCAAACTAGAAGGTGGAGGTTTTCTAGAAAATGGAAAAATACCAGTGAAACAGAAAAATGACGACGTCAGAGAGCAGGGAGTTGGCAAGCAAATGTGAATATTTTGAGACTACCCGAAGAGATCGATGATCGTGAATTTTCACTGCTACAGACAGTGGTGGCCATACAATCAGGGTTTTAGCTGAAAGTACACACCCGCTGCTTGAAAAATGAAATGCGTCCACAGCAAATGGTAAGTTGGTAGGTAAACAGAAGATAAAATCTCAAAGAATGTTTCCAGATTTTGGTGCTGAGAATCTATGAATCACATCCTTGTACTTGAGTATGAAGAAAAGCGTAACAAGTAAAAAAGGAAACTTCTAATACATTACCAAGGGATCATATATTTCTTAAAGTTTCTTGTTCTACATAGAACTCAAACGAGTTATGAATTGACACTAATATTAATTAAACATGGCACTGTATCCAAGACGTTGCTTAAAAGCTACAGCTTGCCCAGAGCCCTAGGAATTTCTCTACCCAAGATATTTCCATTCAATGAACCCTTTTTTCATCGGCATGTGGCGTGACAAAAAATTAAATTCAGATCGTGCCAAATTTAAAGTCACAGTTCTTTATTATTCATTCTAGAAGGGGGGGGAATAGCTATTTCCCCCTTTTAGTTCTCACTTCTAAACCACAGTTCCTTTAACTCTTCTAATTTTTGCAAGCACGGTAATGTTCACAGGGAATGAAGTTGACAAAGTAGTGCCTTCTTCACAACAGGCAATAAGTCACCTGCATATCCTGACACCACATTCACAGGCAAGATAAGGTGACGGAATAAAAACCAATGAGCCAAGGAAAGGTTCGGTATTAAGATCAAAACAACCCACCCTTCCCCCTCACACATCAGAAGTAAGTGGGTTCTTTCAGCCACCCAGGTGCCCCAAGTCCTGTCATTGTGACGAGATGGATGAACCTGGTGTGCCCTGTGCCAAGTGAAGTAAGTCCGAGAGAGAAAGACAACCACATTACCACATGGTATTACTTATATGTGGAATCTAAAAAAAAAAAGTCAAACTCATAGAAACAGAAAGTAGAAAAGTGAGTGCCAGGGCTGCGGGGGTGGGAGAAATAGGGACAGGTTGGTAAAAGGATACAAACTTTTCAGTTAAAAGATGAATGGGGGGGGGGGGCGCCTGGGTGGCTCAGTCGTTAAGCGTCTGCCTTCAGCTCAGGTCATGATCCCAGGGTCCTGGGATGGAGCCCTGCATCAGGCTCCCTGCTCCACGCGAAGCCTGCTTCTCCCTCTCCCACTCCCCCTGCTTGTGCTCCCTCTC